AGGAAAGAGAGTTTTTAAGAAGATTTTGTTTCAGTGTCAGCAAAACAGCTACTGCATTCTTTCTGCACATGTAAATAATTTAATTCTTTCCTTGGGCTTAGGGACCTTCCTAAGGGACCTTTGAAGTCCATCTTTATACATTCATTTCTTCCACCCAGCTTTCCTTCTGTCTCAGGCTACCCAAACACTGACCACCAGCATCAAATCTGTCAGTGACAAAAAGAACTTTTCTCTTGGCAGTTTGATCTGTGAAATGTCAGATACCACTATAGGGCTCTATGTAACTAAAAACAGAAAAGTAAAGGCAGACAAAGCAAAGTTAAAAGCTTTGAAGAAAGCAAAATTGTTTGGCCCAAAGGAGACTTCTCTGTTTGTAGGCAAACATCTTTTTCCTGCTCCCCTAAGCCCGCTTCTCTTTTTTTCCCCCCTCTCCTTTCTTCTCATTAGTTCTGTTGCCTGCACAGACAATCTTATTCTATCTCAATGTCCAATCACGCAAAACGTGTAGCTCACATGTAGTCCTAATGACTGCAACAAAAAGAGCCTCTATTATTTGGGGCGAGACACAAAACCGGCATTATTCATTGCAGGGGTAATTTGCATTTTGTGCTTTATACTGACTGGGATCCAAAAAGACCCCATGCAGATATGACCTAAATCCCAGAAGACATTTACATGGCTAACATTCTTGGATTTCCAAAGGATTAGATGCATGAATGTTTTCAAGCATCTTGAAAAAGTCCTGAACAAGGACTTTACAAAGTTTTGTAAAGCTTGTGTGCATCTTACTCTGTTTTATACTGTAGCTAGAAGTGAACCCTACCTGCTCTGTCACAGTGAGTTTTTAATCAGTCAGAAGTCAGAAAGAGGCTGAAAACAAGTTTGGTGGCATTTGGTTCTTCCAGGCCAAGTACTGTTATTGGAGCTGTATCACTCACTGGCACAGAAACTGTAGTGCCTCCACTTGATTTCTCACGAGCAAAGAAAGGCAGCGATCTCAACCCAGTAATAATAACCGTTCGAAACAGTTATAGATTGCATTCTTCTTTCAAAACCCTATCTGAGAATCAAAAATTCCCAAAACGCATCGCCTCATTTTAGGGCTGATGTCTTCACGTGCCACAGTGACTCACTCTGTGATTTTGCAGAGGTTCTGAAACATCTTCTCAGGATTTTGTCCATCTGGTCCATCAGTTTGTCCCGACTCCTCCAGCTGCTGTACCTTCTGCAGAGCTACGCTGACAGCATAGCGCAGGAACTCCATGCTGGAGCGCAGAACTGCCAGGCTCTCCTCATGGCTTTGGGCATTGTCCCTGAAGAATCGAGAGCACTGTCAGAGAACTGAGGATGCACTGGAAAACCAGGGGCTGGCCTACCAGATCCAAAATCTCAACGTGCATTTACAAATAAAATCATTAGCTGGATTCAGGGTGGAAAAGACCCTGTTTTGGTAGCTTGTAGTGAACACTGAGGAAAGAGCTCCACCAGCCTTTCTAAATGCACTAACAGACATGGTTTGGGTTGATGTCTGGCTCTGATCCACAGGGGACTGGAGCTCAAACGCTGGAGACTGTTGTCTGGGGGATGGCCCACAGCTGGAAGAGCAGAGACTCTCTGAGGTCTTCCAAGTCATAAACAAGGTGCAGGAAAGCTGGTCTGTCAACACCAGAGTGCACAGCTATGGCTCCTGCCTGGACTCCGATGCTCTCCAGACAACATGTGCTGTTACCACACATGCTTTGTACAGAAACAAAAATGCTGTACCGTGTACACAGTGCACAAGACAGCCAGCACGCAGACACCACAAAAGCAGCTTGTGAACAGGCCTTAAAAGCTCCTTCATGTGCGACAGCTTCTCACCTGAACAGAGCTGTGAGCAGAGTAGATACAAAACCCATGGACAGGAAGCTCCTTGCAGTTTTGTTGCCCAAGGGAGATTTGTTCTTTCCAGCTTTCTCCTTCAGGATTTCAGAGAGTTTGTTGTAACATGTGAACAGGCCTAGGACATCCTCAAACTTGTTTTTACTGCAATGAAGTAGCAGAAAGAGAAAATCCAGTCTTACAGTTTCCCATTTGAAGTTTCAGTTGCCAAATTACACGATGACACTTTCTAAATGATAAAACCTTGACTCATGACATCTCACCTCCTTAACAGCATATACCACATCCATTCCTCCTTGACCCACTCTTCTACAAAATGTCACATCACATCTCCCACAACAGATGACATTCAAAAGGAAGATGCTCCCCAAGGTTCTGTGAATGCCTGTGCCACGAGGCACTCGCACTCGGAAAACATCATTCTGATTCTGCGTTGGCACCATTATCCTGTGCTTGCAGTGAGTCTGTACTCCAAAAAGCAAGGCACAGTATAGCACAGATACTGCTGGAGGGTAAGAGTTGATGTTTTACCTGAAATTCCCTGTGTTGAAATTGTACTCAATCAGGACCTCACAAATTCCCATCACCTGAAGGGCATAGATGTTATTCTTTATACCAACACCAGAAGACAGAGAAAAGTCTGCCGACTTATCCTGCGAGGTAAAGGAAACAAGCAAAAAGTCTTTTCAAAACCTGACAAGAACTCACTGCCTTCTTCCTGAAGGCTGAATCAAACTGAAAATCCGATTTACCAGTTCAAAGTCTTCCAACTCGCTCTTGATCATTCGTCGTGTGACAGATTCTAGCATTTCTTCAAAGTTTTGCTCAAAACCCACATCCTCCTCCTCCTCGTCATCTTCAGCTCCTTGGCACAGACGCACAGCGCTCTTATACCAGGCAAGACAGTGCTGGATGCAGCAAAGCAGGTGGGCCTGAAGGAAGCAGCCACGCACTCACACTCAGCCTCCTAGCCGGAGGTCACTGGCCAAAGCGGACACAGGCTATTTCAGTTGGAGGCGAAGAGCTGCAGCTGCCTTCAGAGGTTCATGTGAGTCTCAAGAATACATCTCATTCCCAGAATGAGTGGGATCTGTAATCCTACACACAGCTACCCAGTTCTAGCTTCAGACAATCAGCTGCCTGAGCTTGCCTGTATGGGAAGTAAAGACTTCACACGTCCTGCTCCCTCAAACCAGCTACCTCAAGGGCTGAAGGAGAGGGAAAGGCGATTTCCAGAAGGGCTCTTGCTCTAGCTGTGGTGTCTGCTCCCTGCCTGGGTGTGTGACTGCAGCACAGCATGGAAGCTTCCGCAGGGGAAAGCAAAGTGATGAACTGGAGTTCCTTCCTTCAGAAATCCAACGAATCATTTTGATATTGTTGGAGGTAAGAGCTCAACCAAAGGTAAGATTCCTCCCCCTGCTACACACACACTGAATGACTATTTTATGCGTATTAAGTTGGAAGAAAAAGCAACAGAGTGAGCTCAATAGAGGATAACAGAACTATGCTGTTCCTAGAGCATTTTTCACACACGTTCCCCAAACCACTTTGCTAACAGAGCTCTAATAGATAGCCTGAGGCAGGGGTGAGATGCCCAGCTCTACTGTCATTAAAAGAATTGCTTCGGGCTAGAAGCAGCTGAAGAAACACAAGGTATTCAGCTCATGTAGCAGCACAACTAAAATGCTATGGAACAGATGATCTTGCAGCTGTGGGCAGCCAATATAGCTCTTACCAGTGGTTCTTGCAGAAAGATTTGATCTCCGTGCGCCATAATACATCCCTCAAGTTTCAGTGGAGGCAGGAGGTCTGGCTGGGGCAAGTAATATTGCTTTATCTGTCACATAAAACAAGAAATAAAAATAACCAGTTACTTGGTAACTGAGACTCTTAGGTTGTTTCAATACAGAATACGATAAGCTTTGTACTCCGTTCTACAGAGGGAAAAGGGGCACTGTGATAATGGGACTGTATATGTACCTGAGATGCGTCATCCACTCAATTAGCAATTAAAATCCCCTCGAGTTGCTCATGTATCTCTCAGCTAGGGGAAGTCACTGCCCTAAAACAAGTTTATCTGACTGCTTGCTGTTGTGTTGCCTCAACACGCAACATCACTTGTACGCCAGCTGCAGTGCTATCCATCCTTTAAACAGTGAGGAGAAGTCACTGATCCTGTTGCCCGTCACCCATACTGAGTGCTTAGCCCTGTTACGGCATCCAGCTTGTCGGTCCAAGGGTGCAGATGGTTATGAGGGCTACACTTGGCACTAAAATCCTTGAGAGACCATGATTGTACCAGTTCCTGGCTGTTTGGCTCGCTAGTGGAAGGAGATATGCTCCGAGTACTGATATAGGATCAGAATGAATAGGGCTAGTTATCTATCTATAAATATAATGATGCTATAAAATTGCACACATTTACGCCAAGTTCCCATTAAATGCCCTCTGCTCTGTTCCCAAAAGCTGCCTTGGGTTTGTTCATGTTCCCTTTTCAGACCCTATACTGTCACAGGAAATCTGGAATTAGTCAGCATGAACTCTACAGACGATTAAAGGGAAGAAAATTATTTGTCTCAAAGAAAGCACAGCCTGTCCAATGGATTGAGGAAATATGATTGCCTTGTTGCCATGAGCAACACTGTTGGGGGATGAGTTAATCCTGCCAGATCCTACATGGACTGGGGTATTCTCCCGATGGGAGGACAGCAGTAATAATTACTGTGTCAGCACACATCCTTGGGGAGGTATGGGAGGATAACTGCTGTGCACTGCTAAGGAACAGGGAGCACACAAAGCACTTCTCTGGGCATCCCGCTCCTCACAGCATCTCAGAGCTGAAGGGTTGGAAAGGGCTCCAAGAGAGCCTCTCTCTCCTGCCCCGTGACAGGCTATGAACCTACCCCCAGGCGCCTACCTAGTTTGCTCTCTCAATACAGCAGGCATTTGAACCC